TAATTATATTTCACATTTAAATTATTCAACAAATAAAGGTAATAGCCGCAATATTTGACCAAAATAATTTTGTACATTAATTACATTAACTTAGGCAGGATTTTTCAAACTTTGGCAAGAAAAAATAATTGCCCAATTTAGTAATTCTGAATTTTTAGGCGGGAAAACCAAATATTTTTTTATTGATTTTTAGTTACTATTTCATGTAAATATCATTGTCTTTTTATATATTAATAGATGTCATATTTTTGTAGCGTGCTATGCCACGGGATTTCATGATTTGTTGATTATTAGATATTTAATGATAAATTGTTTGAATCAAATAATTTGTTGACATTAACGTGAAAAAAAAAATATTATTTAGTATTAAATTTAAATTTATATCATTCATGATATTAAATATTCAATATTTTAATTTATGTTTATATTAAGTACATATTACTTAGGTCACATAATTTCATAATTTTAATTACTTATTTTGATTAATAATCAAATAATTTATTCGTTTTTCTTTTGAAAATCTAAGGACTCTTTTTTTTTCTAAAATAATATATAATTGGATGTGATTTACTTGCCAAACATTGGATGTGATTTATTGGTTAATAAATTGTTTAAGCGGGACATGCAAAAAATTTCAAAAATATTTGCTGAAAATTGTTCAAAACGAAAAATAGAAGCGGGAAAGAATGACTAAAGAAGCGGGAAATGAAATATTTTTTTCAAAGTTTTTCAAATAGTTTTTCTTCTCCTTATTATATAGTAATAGATACTAAATATGAATATATTTGGTATAATCAAATACCAAATATAATCAAATAAGTCAAAGTGTACATTTTTATTTGGTATTTGATTTTTTTATTATTAAAATCTACTTACCTTTTTAAAATAAATAAAATATTATAATACCAAAATAGTAATGACATTTAATGCAGTTGACTTTTCTGGATAGTAAATGTAATAAATTGAATCTCCTTTTATATAAGTATGTATATGATATTATATTATGTTGCTCAAAATAGTAATGCATTTATTGCATTGACTTTTCAACTTACTAAATTTCGTAAATGGTACACCTTATTATATAAATACAGATTCGTGTTTAATTGTGTAAGTTTTAAGTCAATATCATAGTAATAGATATAAGTAAATTTGAATATATCATAGTAAAAAATGGAGTATACATAGCCTTTTCTAAAAATAAAAGTGTGTTTAAAATAAGGTTTAATCAAATATATATAATGTAATATTTTTTCGTATACAACATATTGGTCAATTATCATGTCTTAAATGGAGTCAAGTGAAAAAAAAAAAATCACATGTGCGTCATCTGGATCTAATTTCATTTTATTCGCAATAGAAATATTTTTTATCATCTAAAACGTAAAGAATTCTATATGACACTAGACAATCGTAATAGACTCCTCAAACATTGAATATGTTACAATCGGTAAATAAAATTAACAATGTCTACACATTCTCATTATAGAAACAAAATTGACATTTTTTCCATCTGAAATAGATCATAATCATAATAGAAGAGATTTCTCTCTCTTTATCTTTATCTCGAAGACAAGCACTTGTGATAGGAAGATATTGAACCAACCAACCACAGGCCAGCGCCCATAAAAATCAATTAAAATATAATATCTTTTTTCCTGATTGGGAAAGGGTTTGTTTTGTTTTGTGGGCAGATATTATTCTTATTACTATTACTATTTTTTTTTTCTCAACCATTCATCATTGCACGCCTAAGATTTGTGGCTACAAATTGATC